ATGCACGCGACAGCTCCGATGGGGCCTTCCGCAGCAGTCCCAGAATCGCAACAGGGTCCAGCACCGTTGATGCGTCATCCCGAGGTTCAGGGAGAGGTCAGTCCTCTCCCGACAGTGCGGRACGAGGGTTCTGTCGGTGCACTGCATCCACTCAYGTCTGCCGGAGCGGCAGTCTCAGTTGCAGCGACCTCGGATGTGGGACAACCACTGGCAGCAACGGAGCAAGAAAGTATGCTCCCACCTCGCAGTGTTCAACCGCGGCCACCGCCTGCATTGATGGAGGGGAGTCAGGGGACCGCTGTTGTGTGTCAAGGCGACGATGTCCCGGAACGTGATATCTCACACACTCCCGCAGCCGAGCAGAGCGCCGCAGACCATGTCGGCCTCGCATGCCCCACCGGCAGTCTTCCGGGTACCGGCGAGTTACTGACCATGGACTCTGCGCTCGTTTCTCTACCGGACTTGTCGACGTTGATATCCCCAGGTCTACCCCATGTGTCACCGCCCAAGCCACAACAGCCTGTTGTCATCGAGTGTGGATCGGACGGGTTTGACGTGGCAGGAGGCGATATCGCATTCCGTTGTTGACGTGCCAGTTCGCCCATTCTGGCCCCGATTGGATCCACAATGACCTCGTCCTCGACTCCAAGGATGGGAAACAATATCGCATTCCGTTGTTGGGCAAATCGGACTCTACATCCCCCTCTCCTGTCAATGTCGCCATCTTGACACTTACTCAGTTCCACCACGTTCTTTGTCAGCCTGATGTCGAACTCTACATTGTCGACATCATGGATCTCCTTGTCTGCAACTCCATGCATCAGGATGCTGAGCTGGTTGAGCTTGACCCGCCACTCCCCGAGCCTCCCGAGCCCCTCGATCCTTCAGCCTCCTTATCCTCCCTCACCCTTGGTAGCTCATCTCACCGTGTTGCATCCCTTACCACGGAGGCGCCATCAGTACCTATTCCCATACCGACTCCTTCCACCCCTTCTTCAAATGCTGCTGCTGCCGAGAAGTTTGACAACCTCCTATCGTCTTTGCAGCCTAGCGTTGCGGCCCTCCTTCGCGAGTATCGACATGTTTTCCCTCCATTTGTCTCCTATAGCAGCATCCCTCCTATGCGCGATATAGAGCACCACATCCGGCTCGAATCTAACTACCGTATTCAGCATCTCGCCCCATATCGCCTCCCGGTCCCTGAAGCCCTAAAACTTAAACGCCAAATTGACGAGCTGCTTCGTCAGGGCTTCATTAAACCGAGTACGTCCCCATGGAGTGCACCTGTCCTCTTCGATCGCAAGAAGGACCTCCGCCTCTGCCTCGACTACCGCGGTCTCAATGAGTATACGGTCAGAAACAGTTATCCTATGCCCCGCGCGGATGATCTGTTCGATCGCCTCTCCGGCCACCACTTTTTCACGAAGATCGATCTTCGTAGCGGAAACCACCAGATCCACGTAGCAGAGGAGGACCAGCCTAAGACCGCTTTCCGTTCTCGCTTTGGGCACTACGAGTTTACCGTCATGCCTTTCGGTCTCCGTAATGCTCCTGCCACCTTCCAGACGGCTATGAACACGATGTTCCAAGACCTTGAGGGCTCGGTTCTAGTCTATATTGACGACATCGTGGTCTACAGTCGTACCTTAGAGGAGCACCTGTTCCACCTTCGCACTGTCCTCCAACGATTACGTGACCATGGGTTCTATGCGAAGCTCTCCAAATGCTGCTTCGCTCAACCCAAAGTCGACTTCCTGGGGCATCAGGTCTCCGAGCACGGACTCGACATGGACGACACGAAGATTCAGGCAGGCCATTGTCGACTGGCCCATTCCTACCTCTCTTCCTTCGCTACGTAGTTTCCTTGGGTTGACCAACTACGACGGTCATTTTCTTAAAAACTACGCGGTGTATACGGCCCAACTTACCCCTCTGACCCGTGGGCGTCTACCCTTTCATTGGACCCCGGCCCATGAGGATGCCTTCTGCTCCCTCAAGCGGCTTGTCACGTCAGCCCCCGTTCCACACCTCCCTGACTACTCTCGTCCATTCATTGTCACCACGGACACTTCGGACTTTGCTATTGGAGCTGTCCTATCTCAGATCTACTCAGCCCCTTCTACTCCACCCGATTCCACGGAGTCTCGACTCTCGCGCATTCCCCGATTCCCTCCTCCACGTCCAAGGACTGCGGCTCACCTCGCACCCATTCAGCCTACTCCTTCAGGAGCCCCCCCGCCATATATTCTTGACGTCGCCGATGACGGTACAGTTGGGTCTCGCAATGGAGAGTGTCCGGTTGCTTATCTCTCTCGACAACTACTTCCCACGGAGCGTAACTATACTGCTGACGAGCGTGAGGTTCTCGTGCTGGTTTACACTGTTAAGAAGTGGCGTCATCATCTACACGGTCATACCTTCACCGTGCTCACGGACAACTCTGTCCTCGCCGCCTCTCAGACGAAGCCTAAACTCACTTCTCGTCAGGCTCGTTGGTGGCGTGATCTTTCCGAGTTCGACTTCACGATCAGGAAGATCTCCGGTGAGAGCAACCGTGTCGCAGATGCCCTATCTCGTCGCCCTGACCTCAAGTGTGATGATCTGCAGCTCTCTGCTCTTTCTGTCTCTACTCCCATTATCCATCTCGCTTTCCTAGATGAGTACCGTCGTGCTTACCCCCAGTGTTTTGGGTTAAAGTCCATCTATGCTGAATTACAGGCTGCCAAGACCGTCCCTAACTTCCAGCTTGACCCCTCTGAACTCTTGTACTGGCTTGGACTCAATCATCCTCGTACTCCTCGTTTATGTGTGCCTTCTACCAGCCAGCTCCTTGTTCGGGCAGTCGCTGAGAGTCATGATCAGCGTGCCGCCGATCATTTCGGTGTCTACAAGACTCTTGACCGCCTCTACCGCCATTACTATTGGAGGCACCGCCGCACCTTCGTTATGGAGTATGTCCGCACGTGCAAGATCTGCCAAGAGGCCAGTATTACCAGTCATCCTCCCTATGGTCTTCTTCAACCCTTACCCGTTCCTACTCAGCGTTGGATGTCTGTCTCCATGGACTTCATGGGTCCCCTTCGTCCCCCTACCCCATGAGGCCATGACTCCATCTTTGTTGTTGTCTGTAGGCTGACTAAGCATGCTCATTTCCTCCCTTGCAAGTATGCTAGCTCAGCTAAAGACATCGCCTCACTCTGTTTCAACCGCATCGCCATTCATCACGGTCTCCCTACCAGCATTGTCTCTGATCGCGACCCCCGCTTCACTTCCCACTTCTGGCGTGGACTCCACAAGATCTATGGCTCTGAGCTTTACTTCTCCTCTTCTTACCATCCCCAGTTAGACGGACAGACCGAGGTCACCAACAAAACTCTTGGGAATATTCTCAAGAAGTTTGTTGAGAATGACTTTGATTGGGACCTCCATCTCGCCAATGCAGAGATTGCTTATAACCATGCTATTTCACCAGCCACCGGCATGTCTCCTTACTACTGTGACTTGGGACATCACCCCCATGTCCCATCTGATCTCCTTCGTCCATCTCAGATACATCCTGACACTAAATGCCCCGCTCTTGATGACTGGGTTAAGGAGATGGATGAGATTCTCAGCAACGCTCGCAAGAGTATTGCTGACTCCCAGACTCGCATGGCTACTAGCGCCAACCGTTCCCTCATCGATCACACCTTCAAAGTTGGCGACGAAGTCCTCGTCGACGCGCGTCACTTCCAGCTCGAGGCCGACACGATTCGGAAATTCAGACGTCGATATATCGGTCCATGCACTATTCTTTCACCCACCGGACCTAATCATGACTGTCCGGTGAGCTTCAAATTGAAGCTCCCCGATTCCATGTATCGCGCTAACCTACATGATGTGTTTCATGTATCTCTATTGCGCCCCTTCAGACGGTCTCCCCCTGAGTTCCACGGTCGACCTTACCCTCGCCCCTCTCCCATCATCATTGAGGGTCATGAGGAGTTTGTCGTCTCTGATATCGCGTCCCGCATATGATTGATGGTGACCCTCCCCGCCTCGAGTATCTTGTTCGATGGAAGGGTTACCTTGACAAGGAGTCTACTTGGGAGCCTCTCGAGCACCTTAAGCATGCCATGACTTTCGTGCGTGCTTACGATCGTGCTCATCCTTTCTCTTCATCCTCCTCCCTTCCTACTTCTCGTCCTTCTACTGACCCATCTACTTTTGCGACCACTAACATACCCCGTCCATCGATGGGTCCTCCAGCTCCACCGACACCTGCCTCAGGTCCCCCTTCCCCTGTGGACGTGGTTCCGCCTGTTGTTGCAGTTGATTCCTCTCGACCTCAGCGTACCCATCGACTTCCTTCTCGCTATCGTGACTGATCTATACCCCCCTATACGCTCTCTATCTTTTACCATTCTTGGACACCTATGCAGCAGCTCTCGGTTTCGACTTCTACAGTCGGCTTCTACGTTCGACTTTCGACCTCAGTGCTTCTCTTCAGTACCAGAGTACCTGTCGCAGTGTTCCGGGCTTCTACTCGGTTTCTGCGCTACTCCTACTTCATCTTGGTTACTTCGACTCGACAGTCTGGAGACTCATCAGTTGGATTACTTCACTTTTTCGCCACGGAGTTTCCACCATTCCCATCTATCAACCATCCTCGAGTTTACCCTTCAGTCGCATGTTAACCCCTATTTTCCCTGACCATGTGGGTGTGTTCCTCTGCCGCCCTTCTGCCTTACCCTATGCTGCGCGCCCTCCTCCGGAGTGTACGTTTTCCTTCGCTTGCAGCCCTTGGCCATATGTCTATGCTGGCATAGCCCCCCCTATCCTTCCAGGCTCGCTTTTGTGCTCCCTTGTGTGAGTGCCCTTTTCCTTTTTGCTGGCGGTGCCCGTTTGATGGTTTCCATTGAGCCTGGTGTCGTGCTGTTATTCTCCCTCTGAGCCTGATGATGTTTCATATGGTTGTGCGGGTACCCCCTTGGAGTTTACTCTGAGAGCTGTACTTGCCGCCCTCCCACCCATCCCTACCTTTCCCATGCAACTGAGCTCCCTCCCTTCTATTCGGCTATTGTGTACTTGTACAGGGCACGTGAGACTGCGCCACATACTTTTTCGTTGTGGATATTGATCTAGTTATATTACTCTTTAGCCTTTAGGGCTCAGGTGTTGACTTATACTCAACCACATTGGCTTAGGAGACATTTTCCTCTTTCTTGGCCGACACAAGTCAGACATTTCTCTCTTTGTTGGCCGACACAGGTCAGACATTTTTCTGCTTTTTGGGTCGACTCCAACCAGACATTGTTGTATAGATTAGGCTTGAGGCTTAGTCTTTGCATTTCTTTCCTGCACGGAGCTTGCTCCGCATTTAGGATTGTTTTTTTGCCGTTCCTTTGGGTTTCCGCTATTTCAGCGGATAGCGTGTTGATGTATCGCTTGATCAATTTACAGGTCCGAGGATCATGTAGCGGTACCCTTCCGGCCCGACAGTGGGGCCGGACCTGTTTCAGGCGGTCGGCCTGACCCCGGTCCGGTACCGGGGTACTCCGGCCTGGACCAAGGCCGGTATATCTTTTCGGCCTAGGCCCAGGCCGGGTTGGTCACTCATTCAGTTGTTCGTTCTTTCAGTCCTTCACTCAGCTGCTGCTTCTCACGTGTGTTCATTTCCTCTCTCTTTCTCTCTATCTCTCTCACCATCTCTACACGTGCCCTCCGCACGCGCGTCACAATCAGGGTCAAGGGGAGGGTGGACTGGGTTCAAGGGTGTGTGTAGAGCGGGGTTGCGTTGTTGTAGCAGGGTTTATATAGGGGTTTAGGGTTGAGAGTAGAAAAAGCAGGTGCCAATGGGATGCTCGGTCGACGAGATAGCAAATGTCGTCGGGAGGGGGCCATGCGGAGTAGACTGCGTCGCCCGGGGGTCGTCGGCTGGGATGTGCGTCACAGAAGGGGGGTTAGGCAGACGGATAGCCGATGCCAAGTGAGCCACCGGTGGAGGAGAGATCGTCACCGATGAGAGAGCCGGCAGACAAGTGGTCGATGCCTGGGGAGGATTGCAAGAGACAAGGGGACAGAGTTCAGGTGGAGGAGGGCCTGGTTGTTGTGGTGGAAGAAGTGGGAGTAGAAAGGCCGGGTCCCGTGGAGCGAGGGACCGGTCGAGTAAAGCGGCTAGCATTGGGGCAGTTGGTCTGTTGATGACCTAACTGGTGGCAGCGAAAACACCCGTTGTGTTTCTAGAGGTATATGCGTTCTGCGTTTGTGAGTTTTTGGAGACGATGGGGTGGATAGGCAGAAGGCGGTCGGGAGGCACGATCCTGGCGTTCCGTTCGCATAAGGTGGGCGGTCTGGAGGTCCTCAATGGTGAATTGGGAGGGGTAGAGAGAGGCAATGTCGAAGACGTCATCGGAGGTGGGTGGAGTGGTGTCGTTATGGAAAAAGCGGGGGCGGGAGGGAGTGGGCGCGGACTGGTGATGGGGGTGGAGTCGTCGATCGTGGTGAAGCATGCGAGAGAGGAGGTCAGCAAGGGGCATGTCGGGTTCGTGGGCGAGGGCGGTTGTAAGGTCTTTGTGGCATACTCGTTTGATGCGGGAGATGAACACAAAGTCGAGAATGACGGTGGTGGGGAGGTGGTGGCGGAGGGAGCGGACATATTGGACGAAGCGGTCCATGGGACTGGTCTGGCGGAGGTGGCAGAATTGTTCAAGGTTGTCATCAATGGTTTTCGAGGGGCGAAAGGTGGCAGTGAGAAGGTTGGCCCATTGGCGGAAGGAGTGACGTGGTCCTTCGGAGGCTCGGCGGTTGCTGACTTCAGCCATCCACCATTTGGCKGCATTGCCCAGGAGGCGGGAGGTGGCAATGGGGAGCCAGTGGGCAAGGGGCATGTGGTGGAGCTGAAAAGAGTTCTGAAGCTGGGTTAGGAAGAGGAAAACGTCCTCGTGGGGGAGGCCGGAGAAGGACATGATGTTGCCGGATCGGAAGGAACGGGGGATTTCCCTTTCGTGGGAAACGATCTGGGTGAGGGTGTTGAAGCTGAGGTTATCGGGGGCGGTGTCGTAGCAGGTGTAGTCAAGTTTGTTGTTGTCCTCAAGGAGGTAGTTGGGGCGGAGTTGTGGCATTGCGGGGTAAACGCCAGAGGTGACTGGGGAATAGGTGGGACGGATGGTGGGGATGGTGGAGGT